GAAAAACGTGACGTTCTATTGGGGAGAGGAGCAGACCAGAGCATTCGAGCTGCTCAAGCACAAGCTCACGCATTCACCTATTCTGATGTTGCCGGATTTCAATAAGACATTCGAGGTGGAGTGTGATGCTTCTGGTTTGGGAATTGGAGCAGTGTTGATGCAAGAGAAGAAGCCGATTGCTTACTTCAGCGAGAAGTTGAGTGGGGCTGCCCTCAACTATCCGACGTACGACAAGGATCTTTATGCTCTAGTTCGAGCCTTAGAGACATGGCAGCACTATCTTTGGCCGAAGGAGTTCGTGATTCACACTGATCACAAGTCGTTGAAGTATTTGAAAGCTCAACACAAGCTGAACAAGAGACATGCTTGATGGGTTGAGTTCATTGAGTCCTTTCCATACGTGATCAAGTACAAGCAGGGCAAAGAAAATGTAGTTGCTGATGCCCTATCTCGAAGGCATTCGTTGATCACGACAATGGGGTTGAAGTATTTGGGTTTCGAGCATATCAAGGAGCTCTATTCTGATGATGCTGACTTTGGGGAGATCTATAGAGCTTGTGAGCAGCATGGCGATGGGAAGTTCTATCGAAGTGATGGCTACTTGTTTCGAGCTAACCAGTTGTGTATTCCTCGATCATCACTTCGAGAGTTGCTATTGAAAGAGGCTTATGGAGGAGGCTTAATGGCACATTTCGGTGCAGACAAGACGCTGAGTTGTCTACAAGAGCACTTCTATTGGCCGCACATGAAGGGAGACGTGGAGAATCTGTGTGCGAGGTGTGTGGAGTGCAAGCAGGCCAAGTCGAAGGTGCAATCATCTGGATTGTACACACCGCTACCGATTCCATATGCTCCATGGATCGACATCTCTATGGATTTTGTGCTTGGTTTGCCGCGGACAAGGAAGGGAAGAGATTCGATTTTCGTGGTGGTGGATCGATTCTCGAAGATGGCACACTTTATCCCATGCCATAAGATTGACGATGCGGTTAACGTGGCTGATTTGTTTTTCAGGGAAGTGGTGCGATTGCATGGGATGTCGCGTTCCATAGTATCCGATCGAGATACTAAGTTTATGAGTTTCTTCTGGAAGACGTTGTGGAACAAACTGGGGACGAAGCTGTTGTTCTCTACTACATGTCACCCTCAAACCGATGGGCAAACAGAGGTGGTCAATCGAAAATTATCCCAGATGCTTCGAGCTGTGATCAAGAGCAACATCAAGGTTTGGGAGGACTGCCTTCCCCATGTAGAGTTTGCTTACAACAGGATGGTGCACTCGATGACGAAGTTCACTCCGTTTGAGCTCGTGTATGGTTTCAATCCACTCACTCCTTTGGATTTGATGCCATTACCTTAGAATGAGCAGGTCAATCTCGATGGAGCCAAGAAAGCTGAGTTCGTGAAGAGTTTACATGAGAAGGCGAGATTGAACATTGAGAGAAGGACGGAGCAGATCATGCGCAATGTGAACAAAAACAGGAAACCGAGGCACTTTGAAGTTGGCGACTGGGTGTGGGTGCATTTGAGGAAGGAGAGGTTTCCCCAGCAGAGGAAATCAAAGTTAATGCCCCGATGTGATGGTCCTTTCCAGGTGGTTTCGAAGATTGGAAGCAATGCCTACAAGATCGACTTGCCGGGTGAGTATGGAGTAAGTGCAACGTTTAATGTTTTTGACCTTGCACCTTATTTGGATGGCAATTCGGATTTGAGGGCAAATCCTTTTGAAGAAGGAGGGGCTGATGAGGACATCAATGGGCCAGTCACACGTGCTAAGACAAGGACATTGAAGGAGAAGCTTGCGACATATTTGGAGAGCTACTTTGGAGCCATGGATGTGGAGCTATTTCGAGGGAAGCCATATATGATGATTCGAGTGGAGGAAGAAGGAGGAAGTGCTGAAGAGAAGGCAGATTGCAAGAAGCAGCCTTAACGGGTTTGCTTAACGGGTCCAGCCTTAACGGGTTTACTTAACGGGTCCAGGCTTAACGGTTTGGGCTTAACGGGTTTGCTGGGCGTTTCCGAGTTTCCTTGTTTTAAAGTCAGTTTATGATTGTTTTTCCATGTTGGAGTCGGATTTGGGTTGTATTTTGCCTATTTAAAGGGCTGAACACGTTGGTTTTGCCCTTAGACGATTATTATTGAATTTCAGAGGCTAAAGCCGAGTTCCTACGCGGAATTTGCCCTAATTACTCTGTCGAGAATCTCCAGAGTGCTAGAGCGACTCTTATCAGCTAGGTAATCACCCTGGTTGTGGCGAGCTACCCATATCGATTGCCCTTTATTCCGAGTTGAATCTGTCCGATCGATTCATATATCGATTGCCCTTATTCACGGGTGAGTACTGTCCGATCGATTTCCATCCTATCCGGTTCTGTTTGGTTTGAGAAGCTTGACCCTGCGCAACTTTGATTATATCACCTAGCGAACAATGCTTTAACACAAAGGTTGTAGAATGAAGAGTGAGGTAAAAGTAGCAACTTGGAACTTCCCCACTTGCATTTGAGTAAGTGTGAGAGCCAATAATGAATAATAACTCACAAGCTAGGCTTTTATATATTAACTAGTTTTTTGACCCGCGCTTCGCGGCGGTAATAACCGGGGCGGAGCTACAACTAGCTTAAGGGGGGTTCCGCCCCCGAGAATCTCGGAAGTTACTTGTAAAATTTTCGAGTACTTTGAAATTTCGTATAAACTAAGTGTAATTAAGAAATAAGTTGATGAGTTAAATAGGATGTCAATTTAAATCTAGCCTAGAGGATAAGATATTTTATATACCCCCAAGGTAAGGCCGTAAGGGGTTCAATACCCACCAGTTGCAATTTTTGTTATAAGTAAAGTACTCAATCGTATATTTTGTTTTTTCCAAGTCCTTTAATTTAAAAACAAGGATTAATTTTTCAATTCGAAAATAAGAGGAGTTTCATTTTTATTGATTCTCACATTTTTTTAGAAATGACGGAGTAAGAAACTTCGGCCCCCCAAGCACTGAATCCTGGCTCCGCCCCTGGGTAATAAACTTATAATAATAATCGAACTTTAGTCACTCATTTAATGGTTTAATTGAAATAAATATTCACAATATTTTTTGGTTAAGATAGTTGCATAAGCTTTATGTAATATCTTAATTATTACGGAATACTTACATAATACGTTTGCTTAATTAATACAGAAGAAATAACTATCCCGTTATAAGTTGGTATTACACAAATTTTCCATGATGTGTGGTCTAACAATAAAATCAACTTACGTATAAGTTTCACATTTTATTAAATTATTATGTAAAATTTACTTATCTTATGGAACCTTTGCGTAATTCAAATTGATGAGATGAAGAATATAGTAGGTAATACCAAAGGAAAAATATTTAATAAAAAGTGAATTTAGTTCCGAAAAGTATCACATTCGATCAAAAGTTTAGTTGAAGCTTAACAATTTTTTTCCAGTACCAATTGGCATTTTTTTTTTAATTCGCTACATGTTTATCCTTAATAATAAAATTAGACTAGTTCCAGAGAATACATTAATATGTGTATTTAGTGGGATAAATAAATAAAATTATAATATTCACAATGCAAAAAGCAACAAAAAAGCATGACTTCTTACAAAATCTACGAATTCAATGAATTCATGGTTGAAATCTTTTCTCCAAACGATCCACAAAGTAATTAAGGCACCAATGCGATTCTCATTAATTGTGATTGGAATGATGTTGGAAAATCAATTGTGCCTACCCTATAAAAGTAAAATATATTATAAAAGAACCAAACCGGATCATTGGGTGGGCCCATAGAATAATTAAACCAGTTATTATAGCGGTTCATTTGATTTGATTTATTACAGTGCATGAACGGTGTTGTCAATAATTAATCAATAGTTCTATAACGGTTACCGTTGAACCATCAACCACTAACTTTTTCGATTCAACATTCGATCTGGTTCTAAAACATCCAATGCATTAGATGGAACTTTTCTCTTTTGGCATAAGTTAGGCTATTTCATCGCCACAATAGAGTTTCCCGTTTGCTTAGCTAGAGAAGGAAGGAAAGAGCTAGCTAGGCCAAACTGTACATGGGCGTTGGGCCGTGCTTGGGCTGGCACGGCACGGGCACGTTTCAGACTCATTTATTTCGGCCCATCACTTTTCGTGCCGTGCCGTGAAAGCCCATTTGTTAACTTTGCTAGGCCCGGCCCAGGCCCGAGCACGGTTGGAATGGTGTCGTGCCTATTCGTGCTCGTGCCGTGCTCGTATTCGTGTCTAATGAAAAGGAAGAAAATAAAAGAGAGAATGTGAAAGAATGTGAAAATTGGATGAAGAAAGATAGTATTAACCGAGAATGTTTGAGAAAAGCCACAAATAAGGGGGAAAAGAAAATTGGAAGTATAGCGGGTGTGATTTGACTTTGTTTAATTCTTCGTCCATTTTTACTTATGGTAGTAATTACGTATATATCTTTATGACACTTCTAACAACCACAAATAATTATTTTTCTGCTTGTATTTTGTAATATTTGAACCTATAATTCTTTCTATATCTATTTTCTATCAAATAAATGTTATTTTTGTGCCATGTCTGTTCTTATACTAAATAAAATCTAAAAAAATATTAGGCCCAACATGGCCCACTTATATACCGTGTCATGCCCGTGCTCGTGCCTGTGCCCATGAAGTTTAGGCTCGGCACGCCCCATAAATTATTCGTGCTCGTGCCGAGCTGGCTCATTTATTTCGTGTCTGTGCTCGTGTCGTGCTCTAACCGTGCCATGTCGTGCTAGCCCGTGGACAGCCCGGTCCAGTGCCCACGTACAGGCCAAACCCATGGTCATACTCGGCCAACCCAAATTAGTTGACTCTGGCTTATCATAGAACTCTGCTAGTAGTAATCTGGTAATCCGTAATCGTAATCCCCTAAAAAATCGTAATGAACAGTAAATCCGAAATTTAAGGAACTTGCGAATTAATATTAGTTGACTTTGGCTTACCATAGAAGTTCTAGAACTCTGCTAATAGGAATCCGGTAATCCCCTAAAAAATCGTAATGAACCGTAAATCCGAAATTTAGGGAACTTGCGGATTAATATTACAAAAAATTAACTTCTAAACTCTAATTCTAGACCGGTCCGCTTCCGGCGCCAACTCGGGAAGGAAATAGAGAGCAGAGGAGACACATCTCTCTATATCTCGTGACGTTCGACCACGCCACCCGTGGTGATTGCAGTGTGAGCCAGATCTTCCGTATGTCGGCCTCTCGTCTCGTTTGTGGTGGCCGTGGAGCCAGACACTTGTGAGATTTCTTATTTGTCCACTCTGCTTTGGAATTTCCCGGGACGAATGAATAAAACCAAAAGGAAGATGACAGCAAACCTTTCCACTTCATTTTCATCACTAATCTACAAGAGAAAGACACTCATCTAAGACAAAAACACTTCACATCCTCTTCCCATCTCTCTTTCTCTTCTCTTATTGGAGCAACCACAGTACGTCCATTTACTCCCACCTTTGTTTCTTTGTCAGACAAAGGCTTGCCCTGATCCACAAAACCATCTCCCTACGCCAAAGCACGTCCTCCACTTCTTCCCCCTGAAGTTGAAATCCCTTAGCACATCACTCTCTGAGTCTCTGTATCTATATCTTCTCAGCTATCAGGACTCAAACTTCGTGGGTATTGCTCTGCTTCTTCTCTTAGCGAGCAGAGCAGCAGCAGCAATGGAGGAAATCAGCTGGATCATCGTCGCCGCCGTCATCACCTCCCTGACCCTCGTACTCTGTAAAACCCTCCTCTTCAAGCCCTCACACAGCAAGCTCCCACCAGGACCATTCTCCATCCCAATCATCGGCACCTTCCTCTGGATGCTGAGAAGCAAAGGATTCTCCGACCTGGAACCAGCACTCGTTAAGCTCCGCGCCAGGTACGGCTCCATCATCAAAATCCGCATCTTCTCCCGTCCGGTCATCTTCATCTCCTCCCACTCCTTAGCCCACCAAGCCCTCATCCAGGACGGCGCCGTTTTCGCCGACCGGCCGCCGGCTCCCCCTGTCTCCAAAATCGTCTCTTCCAACCAGCACAACATCAGCTCCGCCTCCTACGGCATCACATGGCGCCTCCTCCGCCGCAACCTCACTTCCCAAATCCTCCACCCTTCCCGCGTCAGGTCCTTCTCCCGCGCTCGCTCCTGGGTCCTCCAAATCCTCCTCCGCCGAATCCGGAACCATCACAACCAAGAACAGAGCAGCCTGAGGTTGAAAGATCACATCCACCACGCCATGTTCGCCCTGCTGGTGCTCATGTGCTTCGGCGACAGGCTGGAGGAGGATCAAATCCATGAGGTGGGACGAGTTCAGAGGAGGATGCTGCTCGGATTCCGTCGCTTTCAGATACTCAATCTCTGGCCGAGCATCACTAAATTCCTCCTCCGTCGCCAATGGAAGGAATTTCATCAGCTTCGTCATGAACAGCATCAGGTCCTTCTCCCTCTAATCAGAGCCAGGACGGAAAAATTTGGAAAAGGGGAGGGGGAAGAAGAACAAGCACGTACCTGCTACGTGGATTCATTGCTCGAGATGGAGCTACCAGACACTGATGGTAACGGAGAGCAGAGGAAGAGGAAGCTCAACGAGGGGGAAATTCTGGGCTTGTGCTCCGAGTTCCTCGACGGAGGGACTGACACGACTACAACAGCATTGGAGTGGATCATGGCGAACTTGGTGAAGTGCCCTGACGTTCAGGAGAAGCTGTTTCGGGAGGTTGAAAGCGCAGTGGTGGAAGGAAGTGAAGAGGTTTTTGAGGAGGATTTGGGGAAGATGAGGTACCTGAGAGCCGTGTGCTTGGAAGGATTGAGGAGACACCCGCCGGGTCATTTCGTGCTGCCGCATTCGGTGACGGAGGATACGGTGCTGGACGGCAAGTTTGTGATCCCCAAGAACGCTGCTGTTAACTTCATGGTGGCGGAGATGGGGTGGGATCCTAAGGTCTGGGAGGACCCCATGGCGTTCAAGCCGGAGAGGTTCCTCGAAGGTGGTGGTGGTGAGTTCGATTTGACCGGAAGCAAGGAGATCAAGATGATGCCGTTCGGTGCTGGGAGAAGGATGTGTCCTGGGTATACTCTGGCGATGCTGCATCTCGAGTACTTTGTGGCTAATCTTGTGAGGAACTTCAAGTGGGAAGCTGCAGGGGAGGTTGATCTGGCGGAGAAGCCTGAGTTTACCGTTGTTATGAAGCACCCGCTCGAAGTCAAGTTGTCCCCTAGGGTTCGAGCCTCGTCGTCGTAGTAGTGCTATACCTTATGCATGCATAATGGAGAATTCAGGATTTCTATATTGCTTTCTTGCACGAATATAGAATGAATTTGGGTGTGTAGCTCAATCCACAGTGTATGATATGGATCAATAATCTTATGTGTCATATGTTACACTGCAGCTCCTTTGGCTGATGAGTTTCCAGAATCCATGATAAGGGATTTCTTCAAATCGATTCGTTGGCTCAACAAAAAGAGATGGATTCAAGCCCCGATGGGTTCACACCTAATTGATCTGTAAATCAAAGATTCGAATCAATCAATCTACTTCACCATATTTATCCCCGAATCGATGAACATGGTGATAGATCAATCCACCACGCCACAATCCATCACAAAAACTCAACAACCAATCATCGAAGCAATAGACTTCAAAATCATAAAAACGATAAGACATCAAAATCGATCTACTTCTCAAAACCCATTCATTCCAACTTGAAAGTAAGCGAGACCAGCATAATCATGAACAACAACATGATGATTCTAATCAACTGATACATACGACCATCTGTTTCCAGTCTAGCGCATGTGGAATAGTAATGAATCGATGTATGCTCTAAAGAAGGAACCATAAGAATCTAAATGAGCCGATAAGGTCATAGGACATACAAAGTTTGGTTAGGATTTTCGAGATTCATGCATAAATTTTTGTCTCCGGAGATCGACCCAACTATTTCATTTCTTCCAAGGGTTCCATGTCAATAGTCATCTCATCGCCAATATCAGTCTCGACGTCGGCCATTATTTCATCCCCATCTGCTGCTGTAGGGTGCTGGACTCCATTTTGTTCGGAGTGGGATGGTTGCTGCTGGATTGGAGTTGCTTTGTCAGTTTCATCCTGATTTTGAGTCGCTAGTGGATGTGGATCCGTACAAGCAGTCAACGTGGATGTCACTAATAGATTCTGCAACGAAAGAGAGCTTTGTATAGTTACATTACAAGGAGCAGAGGACGAGCTGCATGCATATAACCATCAAGAGAAGTAAAAGCCAACCAACCTTTTCTAGAGCTAGAGCAAGCTTTGAGAGATTTGGGTATATGCTCTTTGCTGTCAACAGGATCTAAAAAGGCATGATACAGTAAGAATACCTCAGTTTGACAGCTGAAATAAAAAGCTAAGCAAGCATAGACAGAACCCTAGATCAATATAATTGACAAAGAGATAGAAAGTGTATGAGTGTCTAGCCGAGTATCAGCATTTGGCTAGTTCTCAAAGCCATAAAAAGACCAGCTCGGGCTCAGTTTAGATATATTTATCCCAGAAAGGAATTCCGCTGCTCCTCACAGGATTTACACAACTAGTGCACTAAGACCAGACTGGCTACACACAATGAGCTCTGGTGCCAATTCAACAATGAATGTAACTAGGTAGCAAACATATCTTCACATCAATACTGAATATGTATGACTAAGGCAACCTAGACATGGAATCACCTCACATAGCCTTTGCAGGGTAAACGGCGGACCTTCATCAAAACTAAGAAGAGCTGCACGATGAAGCAAAATGAACTGTTAAGCAATGTTTGAGAATGGACAATACACTGGAGTAGCAGCATAAATTACTATATGCATGAAGCCTATGATACTAACAACCTGTCCAATTTTTCAGCAAAGTTCAGCTCAAGTCATAGCTTCATTCCACCACACATAACAACCCAAAATCCTAAAGAGGTGAAACTTTTAGCTTTTTTATTTTTCTGGACTAATGGAGTGGTGATCATGGTTCCGCTAATGTATTCATCATCATCTTTACAAGGACATCATGGTTACTATGACTACATCCAGTCTAAGCCCCAACTCGATCATATGCCACCAGATTCCGTATGAATTACACATAAGAGCAAGATGGTCAGCCATCACGTTCAAGATACCAGTTTCCTAAAGTACAAGTCAATAGCAGATAGAAAAGGGGCAGCCAACTCGAATAACAAAGGGGGTGCACAAGCTTACCATCATCCAGCCTTTTCATCAGCTCTGGGTAGGTTTCTCCTAGTGAAGCTTTCTGCTCCTCACTAGTCATTTTCACCTCGGGATACTCGGACAGAACCTTCATGAACGGAAGTGAGCACCATAAGCAAACCAAAGCAAATTAAAGCTGTCAGCAGTGGAATGATTTTGACCAACCATTGGACCAGTGCTTAACTAAGATTATGAAAAGTCAGAAACAAATCTTGTCATCAACGTCATGGAAACACGTTTGCATACCTCCCCATACCTGCTTCAGCTTAGAGGATAGCATAATCTTCAAGTCATCCCAGTTGTGCCTGCGAGAACACGAAATACATGACCACTTAGCACTGGTTTTCCCCCCAACTACGACAACGAATCAAGGAAAGTTAACCAACTATTAAACTAAGCATCAAAATCCATGTTAGGGTAGCCAATTGTTCGACTGATACTAGGATAACAAGGACACGATTTTGAAACTCGATATCTGTAAGATAACACTGGGCAAAAGCTACATTACCAAGTGCGAGAGAATACCAGAATTTCCCAGTGGATGCAATAAGTTCCAGAACGTCTCCACCTTCTTTGTTAGGAGGAGTTTCAGGTCCAGGTTCTTCCTCGCTGAAAACGGAGAGTTAAAACTCAGTTCTTAGCATATGAACAGATTTTTATGCGTGTGAGGTTTCCACAAGCCAGAATCAGCTAGGGAAATAGTCATCCACCAAATAAAGGATGGTCAAAAGAACAGCAAGGAGATGAAAAAACAGTACTCCATGAAAGACATTTCTCAGCGGACAACAATTTATACCAGTTGCTAGAAGGTTGCCCTACTTAGAACACGAGTTTGTTCCATGGAGAAGAAGAAGGAGACGATGGTGATGGTGGTGAAGCCTAATGTTTATGAAACCTAAAATTCAGGAAGCCCTTACTGATTCTTCAACTACACATCACTGATTTCAGTTCTTCCCAAGAATAAGATGCCGGAGAGAAAATAAAAAAATTGTCGGGTAGGAAATCGTTACCGATGGCTAGAGACCTCGGGAGCAGGAATAGGAGCCGGAGAACTGTTATCCAGAACGGGGTCGGAGTCTTTATCGCCGGAGGAAGTGGAAGCATGGTCGGGAGAAGGCTCGGCCGTCGGCGGCATCATTGGTCCGCTACTTTCCGCTTACAGTGCGAGGGGCAAATGACCGACTGACCAGATTAGAGGGAGAGACAGAGAGAGAGAGTGGCGGCCTGGCGGGGATATATACTAATACCGTATACGCCCACTGTTTCCTTATTCAGTGTTGGGCTCAGGTTGGTCCAGTACCACAACCAATAACACATTGAATTGGGCTCTTGAGTTCCTTTAGCCCACATCCTTAAATAACCCAATAAACTCTTTTATGCTAAATTACATGTTTAATTACTCGAATTACATTAAAATAATCTCACATTGGTTACCTTAATTACTTTGATTCTTACTTTTATCACCAAATTTATGAATCGTTCTAGCTTAAATCACCGGCAGTAAAACTCCGTTAACTCCATCAGTTTTTTGATGACATGACAAACGAGATTGTTGACTGAACCGTTCACTTAATGACATGTTAATTTTAAAAAAATATATTAAAAAATTCATTTTCCCCCTTCCACGTTGTCGCTCATCTTCAACCTTCCCTTTCTTATAGTAGCAACCGCTCAAGGCCAACGCTTGAAACCACCATCTAGCTCTGTCGGCTGTCTCGTCATGAAAACCACAATCGTTGTCTTTTCCTTCACCCCTCTCTTCCCAGCGCCTCCCTCTCGATCCCTCCAGACACCTTCCTCTCCTAGCTGAAGAAGGAAACTTCTCAAGCAAGAGATAGTCTTACCATTGAGATTGACTCGCTATGACACAACTCCTAACAATGGCCAAGTGTAACCAATGAAAAGGACTGCAGTATAGTGGCTCAAGTAATAAATATCGAATCCACGGGTCTCTAGAGTTACTATTACTCAGCTTCAGTTCATTATCTAGCAAACCAGGTTAGTATGAAAGAACTAAAACTACTCTAACAAACTACAGTTAAAGTTAATCTAATTACAGGTTGGGAACTCACTTAGGTATGATTCCCCCTAGCCACTAGCCAGATTAATGATTGATCATCTCTAACCTGTTTCACTTTCATTCACAATGCGTAGAATCCTTGACTAGACCTTGAGTCTCGACTAAAGGAACAAGGCCCTCTTGAGTCAATTGCCTAGAGGGACGTATCCTTCTCTAGAACAATCGGTCAAGGCGTTCTAAACTAGATTCCCTCTATCAAAAGAGGTTCTCAATCGATACAAAGTAGTGAACCAATCCTCGACTAAAGCAATCAATCCACTACTATCAATCTATGGTGCTCTATTGACCTAATCAGGTATTCGCTCTCATAGGATCAAAGCAGAATCAATAATCTCGACTAAAGCAGAATTGAATCATGAAAACATGCATAGATTGAATATGAACTCAAGATTAACAAGTCAGAGTACTCATACAAACATCCAATCAAACAAACATAGCTAGGGTTCCTCAAAACCTAAGTGAAGGGAAGTTACTTCATAGAGAAGAGAGAGACTGCAGTAAGAATCTTCAGATGATCAGTCTTCAAGTCCGGGCTTGTTCCTCGAGCTTCCAAGGCGAAGAAATCCTCCAGTTCCACTCCAAGAATGCCCTCAAATCGCCCTCTCTCTCTTTGGTTCGTCCCTTGGGTGTTTGGGATCCAAAAACCCAGCTCTCCCTCTCCTTTGGCTCGAATTTGGGTTAAAACCCAGAATTTCCCGACTCACACGGCCAGGCCACACGGTCGTGTGACTCTCCCAGGCTACCCGTGTGAGTGTCAAAACGCGGAGTTTCGATAAGTGGCTTCAGGCTTCCTACACGGCCACGACCCACACGGCCGTGTGGACTTCCAGGGTGCCCGTGTGAGTTCCCTGGAATTTCCACACGGCCACAAGGGGTCCCCTACACGGCCGTGTGGCTTTTAGGCATGCCAGTGTGATTTCTCAGCTTCTCGCCAAACGTCCAAACTTCGTCCAATCGACCCCGAACTCGTTCCTAAACCTTCATTCACGTACTAGGACCTGGAATGTCACAAACAAGAACAACCTAGCGTGAAATCGGCCATAAACACGAGAATCGATATCTCAAACGGCTCAAGAATAGGGGTAAAAACATGTGCAATTAACGGTCTATCAGAGATCGACCCCATCATTTGGACGAGGCAAAGCTATAATGCTTGGGTAATCTGGATTCAGCCGCATCAAAGCTTTCGTTGCGCTTCTGTACCTCGCATGTAGATTATATCTAGAATAAGTTAAAATTTCTACAAAGAATCATCCAAAACTATTTTCTTCTAAGAATTTTGATTCGTACCTTGATGCAGGTATCCAAGCAATCGTTAATCGTTAGAGCAGAGGATTTCAGAAATCCGCTGCAGGATTTCAGAAATCCGCTGCAGGATTTCGAGCTCGAGACCGGTGTCAAGGTCTATAGACTGATTGGATTGCGGCTCCCTCTCGATCCCTCCGGACACAGTGGAGGGGGTAACTTAGGAATCTGTTGACAGTGTTTCGAGAATGTCGTGGATTGTATAGGGCATATCTAGTATGGATCTTTGGTCGCGGCCATAGTAAAAGGTCGAAGAGGACAACTCAGGATTCCACCGACAATGTTTCGAGTTGGGTTGCGAATTTATGCGTAAAGTCGATGATTTGGGTTCAAGTTAGGATACTCATGTGTATGGGTTCAATTGTGATCATTCTTAACAAAAAGGGAAAAGAAAAAAAACATTAAAGAGGATGAAACTCGGTCCTGATACAAAACTCGTGGTAGCGGCCTTGTGAAACGGTAGTGTGGAACAACTTATTATTCCGCCGACAATATTTCAAGATGGGCTGCGAAATGGTGGACAAAGGCAATTATTTGTGCAAAAATTCATCGACGAAAACCTAGTGGATAGTTGTTTAAATGGTGCGAAAAGGCGACAATTTGGGTTCCAGTTAGGATACCCATGTGTTTAGGTTCAATTGTGATCATGCTCAACAAAAACAAAAAACACTAAAGAGGATGAAACTCGATCCCGACACAAAACTCATGGTAGTGGCCTTGGGAAACGGTGGCGTGGAACAACTTAGGATTCTGCCGACGATATTTCGAGATGGGCTGCGGAATGGTGGGCAAAGACGATGATTTGTGCAAAAAGCCATAGACGAAAACCTAGTGGATAGTTGTTGAAATGGTGCGAAAAGGCGATGATTTGGGTTCAAGTTAGGATACCCATGTGTTTGGATTCAATCGTGATCATGCTCAACAAAAATAAAAAAGAGAAAGAAAAAACACTAAGTTAGGGAATAATTTCAAAATATTTAGAGATCCGGATATAAAAATTATATAGGAATTGAGATTAAAATTAATTTTAGAGTGCAGTTTAATATTCAGTATTAGAATATAGATACCTTACCCATATCCACGGCTAATTAAAATGAGATTCTCCCTCCACCTCCAGGGTGTTCTCTGTTTTTGTTCCCCCAGTTTTTTGCGCAACGAGGGACGGCTGTTACTGTAAGCCTGTAACCATAAGGCCGGGGCCCAGGGTTGACTGATCGCACCGCACCGGCCGGCCGAAATGGTAAGGGATTACGATTCACTTCCGTCAGCAAAGTCCGCCACGTCAGGGTCGACTCAGATCCTCGTAGTTTCATTAGACCCGACTACCAACCCTTCTTGGCCTTATCCATCTTTATCCCATTCATTCATTCATCACTTTCTCCCTCCCCCAGACAGACCCCAAACAAAAACAAACAACAAAACCCCACCGAACCTCACGTATACAAATACAACATCTCCATCCCCAATTCTCCTCGTCTCCTTCCTCGTTCGTTGCCGCCCCCTGTTTTGGTTCTCCCCTTCACCAAACCCGAATTCCACCTGCATTACTTGCTTCATCGCTCTCTGCATCTTGATCTGGGATTATTTGATTTTTCCCAAACTCTGATCCGCATCCTTCGTCAACGTCAAGCATGCCTTCCCGAGTCACAGGTTCACTACCGATCCCCAATTCAATCACTCTCTCGTTCTCTCTGTCTCTGTCTCTGTGTTTCCTTTTCTTTTATTCTATTCTAGATTACCCTGCCTTTGATTTTGGACTCGAAGCTGGGGCATGGTTCATTCTATCCATTTTAATTGGATTCCAATGTTCATAATTCTTGGTTTTTGTGGGTTGTGCAGCAGGTACCGCCATCGTGCTCATGGGCGTCTCCGGCGCTGGGAAAAGGTGCCGCCTTTGCTCCTGCCCTTCATTTTCTTGATTGCTTTCTTTCTTCTTAATCAATCACGATGTTTCAAAATTGTAGAAAAGGGTTTTGATTCAGATTTTGTTCAAAATTGTGTTGGTGCAGCACCATTGGGGAACTGCTGGCGACAGAGTTGAACTGCAGCTTTCTTGACGCCGACGATTTCCACCCTCATTCCAACAAAGGTATAACAAAATCAAACCATTTTTTTCCCAATTCGCTGCCTCTACCTAATTCCCAAACCCATTTCCACTCACCAACATACCTGTTTCTTAATCGTGTAACGTTTGCAGAGAAAATGAGTCAGGGCATTCCCCTGACGCACGAAGACAGAATCCCCTGGCTCAATCTCCTGAGGGACAAACTCTGGCACCACCTCATCTCCGGTAACACCGTCGTCCTCGGCTGCTCTTCCCTCCAGAAGTCCTACAGAGACATCCTCCGCTCCGCCGACCCCCACCCACCGCCGTCCACCTCCTGTTGTTGCTGCCACTTCGTGCTGCTGGACGCCACCGTCGACTTGCTCACCCGCCGCCTCACCGAGAGAGCAAAACAGGGCACCCATTTCATGCCTCCCAAGCTGCTGCAGTCCCAGCTGGATCTCCTCCAGATCGACCCTTCTGAACCCATTCTCAAAGTCGATGCTTCCCTCCCTCCTCCCGCCATTGTCTCCACCATCATCTCCGCCTTCTTGATTTCTAGCCCCGGCCACAGACAGCCATCGTGCCGGCCCGATTTCCCACAGCACACCACCAGCACCGCCGCCACCATTCAATAGCTAGCTGCAATTTACTTGTAATTTTTCAATTTAATCCCAAATGATTAGTGATTAGACATATACATGGTTAACTTCATTAGCATCAATAATCAAATCTGTCTGTTTTTCTTCTTGTTTCTTTCTTCTGTATACCGTGCAACCAAATGTACAAAGTGGGAGTCGAGATAGACGCGGAGAAAAAACAGAGTAAACATCAAATAAGGCCGGTCCAGTTCCAGTCCAAAGAGGTAGGCGCGGGACCAGGAACGGGAAGGAAAGCGCGTATAAGAGAGAGAGAGAGAGAGAGAGAGAGAGACAGGTGAGGTGGGTTGGCTAGTTACATACAGGCTGTTTGTTTTTTTTTTTTTTTTTTTTTTTTTTTGATGAAGATGATTTTATTAATAAGAAAAAAGGTTCAAATCTGTACAAAGAGATCAGGAGGGATGATCCCACAAGAAGGTTCGAACACCCCAAAAAGAAAGCAAGGGAATAAAAATAGAAAGCTCAGATTCCACCGGCCACACAGTCAAACATCTGCTGAATAAAAATATTTTGCACAGCACAAGACAGCATAGAGCAGCTCCCTCTGCTCGAATGTGATTCAAGAACCAGCACCATCCTTGTTCATTGTATCTGTCTAATGCGTTCCCGAACCCAGGTAGCTGCCCCCAGGCGATCGATCTTTCCATTCGCAACTCCCCATCCTGCAACATTCTTCAAAACTTTCCTGACGATCTGATCAGGATTCCTTGAGATACCATTAAAGATTCTGTTATTTCTTTCCAGCCAGATACACCAGCAAACAGCGTGGAAAGCACAGTAAACAAACCAGCCTTCCATACTGTCAGGGATGTCAGTTGGCCAGTTCTCCAGGATGACGTCGAGATCGTTGCTTGAAGGGAAAACCGACTGCCTGCAACTTCTCCTGATGATGCTCCAGACTTGCTTTGTGTAGATACAATCAACTAGCATATGGGCATTCGTTTCTTCATTCGTGTAACACAGATCACATCTATTAGCCAAACTCCAGCCACGTTTCTTCAGTTTGTCTTGCGTCAGGATGCTGTTGTGCGCCACTGTCCAAATGAAAAAGCATATCTTTGAAGGAACTATTTTCCTCCAAACAGAATCTGCAGGGAATGCGGAAAATCCTGGACACCTGTTCTCCATCAATGCTCTGTACATGGATTTGACCGAAAAGCCTGCCTCCTGGTCAGGAAGCCACACAAGTCTGCACGGACTATTAGCACCGATAGTGAAATCAAAGGAATTAAGAAGTGAAATCAAATTCTGTTTTTCCTGCTCAGCACCCCTTCTCAATTGAATATTTGTGTGTAAATTAAAAGAAACATTATCACCTGAAAGTTCCACGATGTCGTTGATCCTAGCATCCAAGTTAGTGGAGACAGCAGCAACTCGAGGGAAGTTAGCCGCAAGAGAAGGGTTCGAAATCCATCGATCATACCAGAAGGAGACGAATGCACCGCTTCCTGGCTCTACCAAACTAAAGTTCCAGAACAACTCAGCTTCTTTCATAATGTTGGCCCAAATAGAGCTTGACCTGCCCCCTCGAATTCCACCAGTGTGCCAATGAGAATTACCTTTGGAGTATTTAATGTCTATGAGATTCCTCCACCACCCATTACTGTTGACACCAAAATTCCACAACCACTTGCTGAGCATGGCACTATTGAAGGCGGCAAGATCTCTAATGCCCAGACCCCCGCTGCTTTTATTCGATTTGCAAATCCTCCACTCTACCAGAGGTATTTTCCTCTTGTCCCCAACCCCGCTCCATAGGAATCTCCGCTGTAATTTCTCCATCTCCTCGATCACCTGTTTTGGAGCTTTAAAAAGCGAGAAGTAGTATACTTGAAGATTTGACAGCACAGACTTGAGGAGAACCAGTCTCCCCCCAGCCGAGAGATACCTGTTGCTCCAGCTATTCAATCTCTTCTTATATTTCAGGAGAATTGGGTCCCATATAGAGATGGCGTTAGGCTTAGCCCCGAGCGGGTAGCCAAGGTATTTAGGAGTATTGGAATTCCAATTGCAGCCAAGAATGTTAGCAAAGAACTCAGGCTCGGGAACATCGCCTACCGTGTAAATTACTGTCTTCTCCATATTGATCTTTAGACCTGTGACCGCCTGAAAACAAGCAAGAGTGGCTGTGATCTGGAGAATCTGATCAGGGGAAGCATCACAAAAGATGAGTGTGTAGTCCGCAAACAATAGGTGAGTAACCTCACCCCGCTGTCCCGCTTCATCCATAAAGAAACCTTTAATTTTACCTTCATCTTTGAGCTTGTTCAGCATAAACGAAAGGATATCCATCACAAGAACAAAAAGCCCTGGGGACAGAGGGTCCCCCTGGCGAAGTCCCTTATGCGCTGGAAAATAGCCTTTCGATTCACCATTAATCAACACTGAAATAGTAGGGGAGCAGACCGCACTAAGAATCCACTGTCTCCATTTTTCCTGAAATCCCATTCTGACCAAAATGGTGAAGAGGCAACCCCAACTTACGTTGTCGAAAGCCTTTTCTATGTCGAGTTTGATTAGAAGTCCTGGCTTCTTGCTTCTTCTCCTGCTGTCCACCAGTTCGTTAGCAATTAATCCAGCTTCCGAGATTTGTCTACCCCGTACTGAGGCGTGTTGGGAAACTGAAACAAGAGAGGGTAGAACCTGGCCAAGTCTTTTGGAGAGCACTTTGCATATAAGCTTGTTCACACTTCCCATTAAACCGATGGGGCGAAGATCCTTGATGTCTTCGGTAGCGTCTTTTTTAGGCACCAAGCATAAAAAAGAGTGGGTAGCAATCTTTGGCAATCTACCAGTAGTGAAGAAATCACTGAAGCAATTCAGAACATCAGATTTGACAAGGTTCCAACATCTCTTATAGAACTCAAAAGAGAACCCATCCGGCCCGGGCGCCTTGGTACCATCGCTGTCCGAGATGCACTCCCAAATTTCTTCTTCTGAAAAGGGCATTTCAAGAAGAGCAGACTCAACAGAGTTCAGGCAAGTAGAGTTATAATTCCTGGGGAAGGGGCGAGACTGGAACTCCTCAAGGAAGAGCTTAGAATAAAACTCTACCACCCCTTGAGCAATATTATCCACACCTTCAACCATTGTATCATTGATTTTAATCCTCCAGATGTGGTTCGCTTTCCTGTGATAGCTGGCCATTTTGTGAAAGTATCCAGAATTCTGATCCCCCAACTTAAGCCAAATCTCCCTTGAGTTTTGCCTCCAACTGATTTCCTGAAGAGATAAAACCTTTTCCAACTCAAGTTTTTTCCGGATTAGCTCCTCTGCTTCAACTTCAGTGAGAGGCCTGGTTTCTTTAATCAAACTCAGCCCTTTTATTTCATTGAGTAGACTCTCAACCTTGATATGAATGTTGCCAAAAACTTCCTTGTTCCACACCTTGATATTTTGTTTCAAGTCTTTCAGTCTCATACAGAATTGAAACACAGCTCCGTTACCTTGTACCGGATTAGAGTACCAAGAGGTAAGACTTGTGTAGAACCTACCATCTTCCAGCCACATGTTCTCGAATCTCCAAGGGCGATTGGGTTTTTTACTATCTCCCCACTGAAGAAGAAGAGGAGAGTGGTCGGACTCCACCTTCTCCAATCCCATTAGCCTGCAATCCGGGTAGAGAGTATCAAAGCTCGGAGAGATCAGAATCCTATCAATACGAGATTGAGAGTTACTGTTAACTCCTAAGCTCCAGGTGAATCGACATCCGCTGATAGGGAGATCCAGGAGATCATTATCTTCAATAAAAGAGTTGAAACTGTTCATCAGATCAGGGTTTCTTCTACCCCCGATGTAATCCTCATGAGATCTCACCAAGTTGAAATCCCCAGCAATGCAGATCGGAGCAACTTGATTCTGGCAATAGTTATGAAGTTCATTAAGAAAGTACAGCTTTTCTCTCCTGTCTTGCGGGCCATAGACAGCAACAAAACTCCAGATTTTTGCTGTATTGATCTCCAAGAATTCAACAGACAGAAAGTAGTTGCCGACGAAGCTTGATAAATCCTGAAAACGATACTTGTCCCAGCATATAACCAACCCCCCCGAACTTCCCACTGAATCTTTAGCAACCCATTTCATATCACGTCTGCCACATATGCTGCTAACCAGAGAATCAGAGCACGAATTCCACTTGGTTTCAACTAGAGCGATAATTTGAGGATTCCTCCGCCTGATTAACTGTTTGATACGACTCCTCTTATCCGAGTCACAGATACCTCTAACATTCCACACAAAGACCGAAGAATTCATTAGGCTAAAGATGAGGATGAGATCACACCCGGAGCTTTCTTGCATCTTCTCGGACCTGAAGGAGGAGGAGAAGAGGGACCCAAACGCCTCCTTTCCATTTCAAGCTTCGATCTAGAGGTTCTAATCTTCCTTTTGTGCATAGAAGCGGCAACAGAGTTTAAGATGTCATCCAGTTTGCCCTGTCCTTCCTTCAGTTCTAGATCAAACAAATTGCTTAGGTCATTCGTGCAATTCACCAAAGATTCAGAGTCAAAGGGGTATTGCTCTAAATTCCAACTCGCTTTATCGCCACCAGAGTTACAAGAGGGAGAAGGGAGATCCGAAAAATCTGAGGATCTAGGGGAGGATGGTGATGCTGGCGTCTCGGGGACAAAGGTTGGGGGGGACAGGGGAGTTTCCAATAGAGAGAGGGACCAAGAGGTCGGAGGGGAGGGCGGGGAGGTTGTCATCGAGAGGTTGTCGGGAATAGATGTGATTAGACGGTGTTGACCGGGAAGAGGAGGGGGGTCTTGGGATTTTGGGGGCAAAGAGGGGGGTATAGGCAGAAGAACGGTTTTGAGGTTGGTTGAAGGGCTTGATGTGGGGGGTAAAAGGATGTCGTTCAGCGGAGGAGCAGGGAAGGGGAAGCTAATTCTCAGCCGGTTAAAGTCTCGGAGATCTAGCGTTAGCCAAACATTAAGGGATGGAGCAGGCTGGCAGATAATATTGTTCAAAAGGATTTAGAGAAAAGGGCTGGGAAATGGGCTTAAGGGGGGGACTGAAGTGGGCTGGAAGCAATGGGAAGAGGTAGTCTTAACAAGGCTACTGTTCGAAGAAGGAGGGGAGCGGCCCAAATCGCCAGGGCTTGACTTGCGAACCCAAACTCGAGTTGGAGAACGGCGGAAAGGAATAGGGTCTCTGGATGACGAAACGATAGCCGTCTTACCGCCGTTTCTCGAAGAAACCAGATGGGCGTTGCTGCACGGAGTGTTGCGAGCCGGGAAAAACGAGGAGGATCGATTCGTCTTCCCAAATTGAAAGGAGCTCTCACGCATCCCCAAGCCTTGCCTGTAATCGCTCGCCGGCGGTGACACAACCACCCTAGCCGTGAAACCAGCTGAACCGACAAGAAGTGGAACTGTTTCAGGGATCATTCTCACTTTCCTTATTCTAATCCTCACAAAATCGAGACACCAAGAGTTCCAGTCCACCTCAATGAAATTTCCACAATAGTTCCCTATAGCCACCAAAAGATCAACACTCTTAATGTGTAGTGGGATGCCGAAAACCATTATCCAAGAATCATCGGAGTTTCTGAGTGAGATATTTTCCATCCAAGGACTAATGCTAATGGAGAAATCCTTGAAAGGAAGATGATTAAGCTCTTTAATTCGCAAAGCTTCTGAGACGTTTGGACAAATCAGAAGCCAGTTCCCCTCTGAGATAGTTGAGTTGAGATTGTTTTGTCTCAGTTTTTAGCTGATGCGACATACACAATCACACATACCAAACGTTGTATTCTACAATGCATCAAATTCAACAATACATGTATAATATTATACATGCATTCTGAACAATACATCTATTTAACAATCGCAACTTCCAAACGACCCTAGTATCTGTAGATTTTAGCGATTTGATATTTCTAAAGCTAATATCCAGAATAACAAAATACAAAAAAACACATAACTTTTAACTAGAAAAAATCCACAAGCTACAAGTGTCCTAACGAAGCTATATGATCAGCCAAAAATATTTGCTTCTATATAGACATGCTCAACCCTAACTTAACTTGTCATGGATGATCGTCATGGGCGACCAATATTCTAGGAGGTCCTCGAGCATAGAGACGCCGGTAGTCATGGCAATGGGGCGGGGCAGGGCGGGTACCTCAATTCCCATGCCCCGCCCCACGCTACTACGGGTCGGGGCGGGTAAAACCCGCGCGTGAACGGGGCGGGGCGGGTCGACCCACTCTTACATGTTGTTCAAAAAAATACAAGTAAATTTTACTTTTTACAATAAAACGTAGGGGAAAACACTTTAAGAATGAAAAATATTGATAATAGAATGGATAATTGAGCCTAACAAGTTGAAAAATCAACTCTAACTAGTTGAAGAAAAGTCAAAATAGGATAAATATGTATAGATATTGTAAGAAATTGAGATAAAATGAGTCTAGAACGGGGCGGGGCGGGGCAGGGCGGGGCGAAAGTAGATACCCATGCCCCGCCCCACGCTACTGCGGGTCGGGTAATACCCGCCCCATCGCGGGTCAGGTCGGGTAATACCCGCGGGGCGGGTTGAAATTGCCATCACTAGACGCCGGATAGTGGAGACCCCCATCATAGGTCTGTTGGTTAAGTCAAATCGTAAACTATAAGTTGAATTTGTATTGCATGATTATGGTACGATGATGTGATTAAAGTTTTTTTTAACTAATACTAGTCTAGTTATTGTTCAATATTCTCATGTATATTGGTTGTTAAAGTTCTGTTTGTATTCTAAAAATCGTATTTAATTGTCCTCTAAAAACAATAAAAGAAACGAGTTAGCCATTACAGTGGTTGCGAATGCTCTATTAGAGAGGATGACCAATTAAAGAAATTATAAATTAAAATTATTTCAAACAATGTTTGAAGGATATTAATTTTTAAATAACAATTCTACAAACATTTTTATTTTATTCTAATTAAAAAAAATTAGATAACATCTTAATTCTAAAACAGTGCATCCAGAACTAACGGTCCTATCCTATAATTAGTCTAATAATCTCATCCACCAGAGCAGCATATTGAGGGTGGTGTGGCTGCGATGTAGCAAGTGAGACCGGGAAGAATTCCAGGCGAATGCCGAGAAACTCCTAGATTCACTGAAAAACGTTATATAAGGAAGTGACCGCTGCATTTGTATCGTCATGTTGGGTCGCGAGGCTTTTGGTTCGCAAATAAAGGTTCACAATTTTTTGGGTCTCACCTAAACCTTTGTTGGGCTTAGAAGCTGGGCTTCAGCAGCCAGTTGGGCTCTGAGGTTTCCAGTGGGCTATGTCATCTTTCTCAGCTTTGTTGTTCACTTCACTCGTCGGTTTTGGCCTCGCCCTGAAGTCGATGGCCACCTTTTGTTTATTATTACAATCTTATAATAATGGTCCTCTATTAAGACCCATGATAATTACATAAACAATAAACTTTTCATACAAAATAAAGTCAAGCAGGGAGTACTCACCGAAAAAAAGAAATATTAGATGGGTTGGCAAGGTGGGCTTAGGATACAGATAGAACAAAAGCATATTCCGAATGGGGCGTGGCACCTCTACTTTGACTATGGCTCTCTCTTCTCTTGGGCGGAGCAAGTCCAGTGTGTAACTAACTGTGTAAGTAACTAAGTATTAAAAAAAAAAAGAAGTCCAAAATCCCAAAGCCCAACTGTCTGCACCTTACCTACCCCATATACTCCAAGTCTCCAACCCAAAACAAAATGTCCACATCTCTCATCTCATCTAATTCAAGCAAAGCAAAGCAAAGCAAAGCATCTATAACTATAACTATAAGAAGCAGCTTAAGAGTGAAGAAGAGGAAGCATCTCTCTGTCTGACTCCCACTTTTCCCTATTCCCTCTCTCATTCTCTCTTTCGCTCTTTATCTCGATCTCTCTTACCTTTCCGTACTTGTACTTGTACAATCTTTCTGTATGGCTGCCAATCGGATGAGCAACAGCAGTAGTGGCAGAGGGATCGCGAGCTTGGGCAAGCGACTGCTCTTTCCCAACCACCGGATCTCCTCCATCTCTTCTTCTTCTTCTCCCTGCAGCATCAGGTATACTACCCTCATTTTCCATGTTTGTTTCACGGTTTGGTAGTTGGAAACCATATATGTGCTTTTAGAAGTCGACCGGTATAGTCGTCCTGTCGACCAGTTCAATCATCAAATCGATCACAAATGTCAAATAATGTACTGATTTGCCTGCCTATCAAGGTGCTCAGAGTGATACAATCATCAGTCTCCAAATCAATTTCATTCAAGATGTAATTCGTCTTATGTTTTTTCAATCTCCTCATGTTGTATTATGGTGAAGTGGATTAACGATTATCGTTTTAGGTGGATGAAACATGTAATTTATCTGAGCATTCATTGATCATCCCTCCAGAAGGTGGTTGGGATGTGAGGGACTTGGCCGGATCTCTTTCTCTACTCTGTTATTTCCTACCTATTTTACCAAATCCTAACCTAATTAATGAATTAATTAATCTAGCTAAAACCCATACCCACCTAACTTTAATTCAGCGTAGGGGCTTACCTTACCTAGCTAGCTAGCGTTGTGATCCATCCCGTTCTTGTCCGTCTGTCTTCTTTTCCATGCCTAGTCACCACATGGCCCACTCCTTCCTCATCGTCATCTCCCAAATGCTATATATGGGTGCACGCGGTTTTCATTCACCCTATTATTTATATCATTATCATTTGATTGTTATTATTTATATTTGATGAATCAACCGTATTATATTAATTTAATGTAACCAATTAACTAACGATTCAGGCATATACCAAAACCCACCACCCAGGTTAGGAGTCAACCCGCGACCCTTTGTTTAACTGTAGGTGTTCATTTCATATGCATCATTAAGTAAGGACTGCACAAATTATGCATATTATATATGCTACTTGGGAGAGGTAACGGCCGGTGACAAGGCAAATGTGTCTGCATACTCGACTTCCACAGAAAACACATTTTATTTAGTTTTTCCACCTTGTGCTTATCAATCACCTTCACCTACCACACCTACCTGCCCACCCTACCACCATGATGCTGTTTGCTGTTTAGTTACAAGATCATTTCTGTGTGTATGGAAGTGGAGGGATCATGATTAGGGGTGTCAATTCGGGTTCGGTTTTTCGGGTTTATCCGAAACCGACCCGATTATATATATTTTTGGGTTTTCGGGTTCGTTTCGGGTTTTTCAGTTTCGGGTTCGGTTTTGCTTATCGGTTTTTCGGGTTCCGGCTAAAAACCTCCAATGAATAGACCTCAGCCCGTATTTTTAGGCGTTCGAATTTTCGAATTTCGGTTTTGCTTTAACCGAACCCGATAAGGAATTTTCGGGTTTCGGGTAACCGGAACCCACAAGTCCGTATCGGGTTCGGGTTTGGTTTTAGTGATTTCTAGTTTAGGGTTTTCGGGTTTTTTCGGGTTTCGGTTTGGGTAACCAAACCCGACCCGAACTGACACCCCTAAATTCATGATCAATTAGTCACGTGGTTAGCATTTCAGTTTAATTATGGGCGGAGGAATAATGGATAGATAGAGATTGGAATGTTAAATCTTAGATGGACACGAGTTGATCATTGGATAAGATCGTACTAGACTAGATGGATGGAGCCAAGTGCGGCACGGTGGACTTGGGCCCACTATGATATTTGACTTCATCGAACGCGTGGTGGGCCTGGGATGGGCCTGCTTATCCGTATTCCAAACTGAGACACGGTGTTTACTTTCTTGCTTTATCTCAGGGGGTTGCATTCGGCGTACGAGAAGAACGTAGAGGCGGCGGATCACCATCATCATGATGATCAGGTGATCTTCCGGCAGCCACAGCAGCAGCAGCTGGTGAAGGAGGAGGACAAGTTCTATTACTGGGAGCCGCACCCGCAGACCGGAGTGTTTGGCCCTGCTGCTGCCTCTGGAGGAGCCGCCGCGGCCTCGTCGGGGAAGTCTTCTACGATCGATGATGGTCATGGTGGTGCTGTGGTGGTGGAAGAGAAGGCCTGGTTCCGCCCTACCAGCCTCGAGGACTTGGAGAAGCCCCACCTTCCTTAACAATTCATCCACAATCACTACTTCTACTACTACTACTAATATGTATTGTAATAAACGCCTAGCTGTTTGGAGGTCGCATATATGTTACAATAATGAGGCCCTAGCTAGCGCAGGATCTTATCTTCATTAGTTTATTGTACTATTATGTGTTCAAAGGGCTTACCAATTACGTTTGTACGTGCGTGGATTAGTGTGTATGTATCTTCATGATCGTGAGTAGTGTTTGCTGTTTTCTTCTACCTTAGTATTGTGCGGATGGTGGTAGAGTTTGAATAATGTTATGTATTTGTAATGACGATCAGTTGGTTTCTTTCAACCTAGCTATCAGCTTTGTGAGAGAGATGAGTTGAGCTTGCCTCAACTTATCGTCATATTTTGGCTGGAAGGAAGCTATAGAATATAGATAGACCGTAGACGGGTCTTGGACAAATGGCCCAATTATCAGAAGATGTATCGTGGAAGAGTCCCGGATCCATCGATAAATATATTCAATAGTGGGCTGGGCCCAACAATTAGCTAACCGTCACAGAGATCCCTCGGGTAGTACCACAATCTATTCTACGTACAACAATGTGTTGAACGACTTCAACAAGCCTGCGCGTAAGATATCCAGCATCTGATGTTCGTACAGCCGTATCCACAACCCCTTTTCGGGCCCCATAGCAAGAAATGATATATTCTGTTAAAGAAAGTCCTTCGCGCAAATTGCTTTGAATGGGTAAATCAATTGAAGAAATAAGAAAGCCCGAACAAATATCCGCCGAAGGGAAAAGGATGGCGATAAGTCGGGTTGGGTTTGGGTTTAAATGGGTATACCCACCAATAAAATAGATATTTATGGGTTCTGAAAAATTTATAATAACAAGTTCAAGTGAATAGTGAATATAAAAGTCTAACATAATTTTTCCTATACAAATTATCCAAACAAAAAACACCAATCTAGAGCATAGAAGAAAACCATCCATACAAACTGTTCAACATTAAAGATAAGGGTGCGCCTACGGTGATATGCACTTTTTGGTCGACCTCAGTTAGGATTAGGTATGGCTAAATGGAAATTGAATATTAATGGCTTGTTTTGAAGATGGAGTGTCCCTCTACATATTGAAGTGATTGAGAGCTCGATGGGAAGTCCAGAAGACCATTTTTGAACCTGATCAAAAGGCTATGCCAAAACTGGGAAACTACCTGAAAATGGCTAAGTCTGGAAACGTGTTTGTGAAACCTACTTTGGAGCTCAATTCGAGAAGCATGAATGCGAGTCGAGTCCAGGGGCCTCTACCACATTAAATTAGGTATGTTTTTATACAAATTCAAGGAATTGAATGAAAGATTAGATATCTGTAAGGCTTCAAACAAAAGGGTCGAAGTTGCTAAACTTCGGAGGTAACTAACAAATATTGGTCTAAAAAGAGTAAAAAAAAATTATTTAAAAACTTTAGAAAAACAATATGAAAAGTAGGTCATAAATTATTTTGGATTCAAAAGGTCCTAACATTAGCAAACACTAGCTAATATCATAAATTAAAGTTTAGAGTGTCAATAATTTGATGGTTGAGGAAACATGTTGCAAAACTACTAGAGAGTATTAGATAATTGTATATTAATCCATTTCTGACAATGCTAAACAATTAATTGAAATAACATATGAACTTTATTTCATAGTTTATCGAGCAGTCGGATTACGAGTCAATTGGGTTTGGGTTAGTCGGATTACGAGTTCAATCGAGTTATGGGTTAATTAAATTCGGGTTATTCGGGTCACGGGTAGTCGGGTTACGACTTTAATCGGGTTCGGGCCAATCGGCTTGCAGGCCAATCAGAATATAGTCAACTCGGTTTACGGTCGGGTTATGTTTTGACACCTATGTATCTGGTCCTAGATAGGTTGCAAACTCCAAACCATGGCTAAGTAGTCATGGGCTCTTGATTTTAGTGGGGCTAGATCTAATCAGTGATATTAATAGAATTTTTATTTTTCCTACATTTTTAATTGACTTTTATCTTCTTTGATTTAACTTTGATTTCTAAAGTCTTTTACAAATTGAGCTTGTTTTTTTGCTTGTGATCTACAAAATTATATTCATTTTTCAATATATTTGACAAAATTTTCATACCACACGAATTTTTTATTTTTTTTTTCTAGAATGAACGAGTTCATCGTCATCTATAGGATCCTGAAATTTTTGGAGAAACAAATTACAAGACTAAATATAACACCCTATATGGTAGACGATGATGGGAAGTGCTAAATAATCATTAGCATAACACTACTATCATGTATACAATCATTATACTCTTTGTTAAATTCATACCACCATGGTACACTTACATACCACGTGGTATAATCTTATATGCTGCCAAACATCGAATAAAAAATATCTCCTTTTTTCAAAATATATCGAAGTGGATGTTATTTTGAAGAGTACAATTAATCTAATTTTCCTGTGTAAACCATTTTCAATTACGAATACCGAAAAGGTATTTAAATTAAATTGAGAAAAAAGTTATTTGTCATATTTAACTTAAGCACGGTATCTATTCCCTCCTTGTAGTCTAAGGAGGAAATTTAAAGTTTGGTTTTAAAAGGAAACCCAATCAAACGTGCTATATATAATATTTATTTAAACATATTTCCTTATTTTGGGCAATTATATTTTCCATATATCTCTTTATTTTCATAAGGGAGGTAATTTAAAGCTTGTTTATTAAAAGGGAAAAGAATAAGATCATTATCTAATATTTATTTAACCATATTCCTTTCTTTCATGTAATTAAAAAATTTCCTTATATGTATGTATTTTCAGATTTGATTTTCTTATTGATTAATCGAATGAGGTAGTGGCTCTGTCTCTATATATACCGGATTAGTTCTTTCGTTTAAAAGACACAACCAAGAAAGAAAGAAAAAAATAAGAGTTGAGATAACAACACATTTTCTGTGACAGGAAATACAATATGGCTTCAACAAGTCTGCTAAGAAGTGTTGTTCATGTCATTTGTGCTTTCTTGGCCATTGCAGTTGTGTTTAGTGGTATTTGCAGTGCTACGAAGAAGTTCCAACTGAAGATATCATCAAACCGTCACATGTGACCCACCCAATATCTCCTGCGCTCGATTACGGAATCCTTAGTGAATGTTGTAAATACAATATTCAATTATGTTGCGAATGGAAACACGACCATGGCAACTGACCGGCCTCTAAACTAGATAATATAAGCAGTTTCCTTCATATCTCATATATATGGTCATTTATCTAACGAATAAATAAAGTTGAATTTTGCTCTATTAATTGTTTCCTTGTTAATTCTCACCTTTTCCCACTTTAGTTTTATTTTTCATAAAGTTACTAATGTTTAGAATATTCCCTAAATAAAAACGCTTTCCGCATGGTGCCAACTAGCTAGGTTTGATAATCGGTAATCGGTTATCCGGTAATTAATAAATTAAACCAAGCAAACCTATTATTTGGCTAACCAATAACCTATAAGCATGTATTTTAGTGCCAGTTTCATTTATTGGTTTGGAGGGTTTTGGCTGAATGATAATTTTCACTTCAACGGTGAAATTGACAACTAATCAGCCAACGCCCAACAACATAAAAGCGATGTCGCACTCTATCCCTTTCCTCACAAAGAGTCGAAATGACCTATTATATTTTATGTTTCTCCCTCTCAGATCTCAATTATCATCACATCAACCATGAACAATAAAAAAACCAAATCTCCCAACCTCACCGCCTTGCCGTCCTTATCCTCGATCACCGACCCTTCTTCCACATCCTCTCTGCTACCCACTTTCCGCTTCACCTTCCTCTTTTTGTCGTTGAACCGCGTGTTCACGTTATTAATCTTAGTTGTCTTTGCCTACTAGCTATATGCTTTGAAAAAAATACTAAACCTTGTCTATTGAAATATTAATATGTTGACCGCCAACAAATAATACTAAACCATGGTTCAGAAAAGGAAAAGTGGAGACAATAAATAATATGTAGACGCTTAATATTAGTAATTGTGAGCCGAACGGCTGGGTCGTGTAACCACTCATCAACTGTGATGATTGAGGTGGAGAAGAAATGCCAATAACTAAAATGAGATTATAAATTTTAAAGAGGAGAAGAAGTGCCAATAATTTAAATGAGTTTAAATTTTAAAAGGCAGGGTTCGAACAAGAAACCTTCCCCTCGTAAGTCGTAACTAAAATTAGCTAAGCCTTCAGACCACAACTCCACCGCAAACTTAGTCTGTCATCTACTTAGGATTTTAGTTATTTCTAAAGCTAGGGAGGCATGCGCATCCCCCCCACACACACACACAAAGTACAAGTTGGCTCTGTCCCTGAAGTTGACCAAATAATGAAACTGTGTAAAGTTCACGGTTTTAGTGCAATGTTCATGAAGTCCAGGCAGTGACATTTTCACTAGCCCACAAGATAAAATGGAGCTTCTTATCGATGACAAACCTCACGGATTGTCTATATTTGCACGGTCTTAGCCCGTGACATTTTACATAGTCGTGAAGTTTGAACCAAAATTCCTCGTTTAGTCTTGGACTCATGGTTTCGTGTTGATCTCATGGTCTATCCGTGAACTTTACACCAAAACCATGAGAATCCCCATCAGGTGAGTATATGAGGCCCTGAAACCCTTTCGATCGTGACCATAACCCAGATGGCAAAATTCTCTAAATCCTCGCAGGAAAACGACGCCTCCGACGAGTTCTCACAATTCCATCGAATTCCGGTCATCCAAAACCAAGCACACACCCACTCTTCTCCCCTAGGCGCTTGATGTATAAACAAACGATAATCCTAAAGATGTTGTTTCCAGCTTTTTAGGTGTAAACAGATGCTTAAGATTGTATAAAATAAGTTCTTTTGATAGTCACTTCTCAAAGCTAACTAGATGTGTTTGAATAATGAATGCATAAAGTAAAACAAAGTGGGATGAGATATCCTTGAATGAAGTCGAAATACTACTATACTACTAATACAAACCACAAAAATACAAGCAAAAAAGTGGTTTTTAGGTAAGGATTATAGATGATGATGCGTTCATCCTCATTATCTTGATACTTCAATTCGTCTTATACTAAATGCCACATCCATTCCATTAAGGCCACTCTCTACCTGTGCATGGGCATCTTGCAATAGAGATTTTATTAACTAACACGTGCTTTCACTTCATGCAATTGCCTAATGGATGAAGAACAAGTAAGTTAGGATAGCACATGATTAAGTGTGGGTCTCTTGAGCGATAATCTATGGTCTATAGCTTCGGTGATCTAAGGATCAAGCATCATCTAAGGTTGATGCCAACTATATGAGATTAGTTTCCTTGTCTCCCATGATAGTAGTATAAACAATGAATATAGTAACACATAATAGAATCATAAGCATCAACAATCAAAAGCATACAAAGAACAAGCATAAAAAATCTCAAGCAATAGATGATACAAGAATAAATCAAATCGAGCATCGATTATAAGATCATTGAACACAATAGACATCTTATTAAATCATAGAGTGTAGTAAATAAACATCATTAAGTCACATCCTCAAATATATAGACTAGCAACACAAATGATAGTAGGAAGACATAAAAAAGATGAAGAACATCGATGGTGAATCATCATCGTCGAACTCCAACAGGGCTTTGCCTCCTCTCTCTATGGATTGCTACTTGTGCCCCAGGGGCAGAGTGCTAGTAAAATGTGTTTGTCAAACCTGTAGTCTAGCCTCTTATTTATACTAGTTATAAAAGTGTGGTTTATAGTCTTTTTCTCCTAAAGTCGTTAAAATCCTTCATTATCCGAATTGAAGTCGATTTCCTTCAACTCGTGGAAAAAGTAACTTGTTGAGAAATCTTCTATGTCTCATATGCTCATCAAGAGCTGGTTCATATCATCTAAAATAATTGCATGCTATGTTTGTATGCATAACAAAGCACAATGAGAGAGAGGAATGGTCAGAAGCTAAACCAAAACAGAAGATCATAAAAGCACGAAAGGAAGGGGATTCAACTTACCTCAAACTTGCTACATACATAGAACCTCCGCCCTGAATTTGCATCTGTTCAACTAGTCCTCAAATTTGTTGGGTACCTACAACGACAACATGAGCTATCCATGGCTCATATAGCCTTCTTCCAAAGAGCACAAGTTATTGAAGAGGAGGAGGAGGAAGACAGATAAGGAAGAATAAGGTAAAGTAGGGGTGGTAATCAGTAAACCGGTATCCGGTACCGGATACCGACGGTATTCGGTATACCGGATACCGTCGGTATCGGTATTCGGGCGTGTGATTTTATATTCGGTAATACCGGATAAGAGCCGGTAGTTACCGACAGTATACCGGTATACCGATAATACCGATTATATAAAAAAAAAAAGTAAAACGCGGTGCACTGAAGGGTTTTGGCGGATTGAATTTGTTAATTTGGGGCTCTGCCGCAGCAACCCAACACAGCAAAGCAACCCTAAAAAATTCGAGACCCAACAGCCTCCCTCCCTCTCGTCTTCCTCTGAGCAGCCGCCAGCAGCCCGCCCCGCCTGCCCCAGCAGCGCTCCCCGCCGCCGCCTCCAGCAGCCTCCTCTTCCCTTCTCTCCATCCCGAAAGGCGAGACCCAGCAGCCGCGATCCACACCTCGTCTTCCTCTTCTCTTCAACAGGCAGCAGCCGCTGGCCGCCGCTTCTTGAAGCCAACGGTAGGGTTCGCTGAGCTCAAGCTCGAAAGGCGAAACCCCTGACCCTAAGGCAGAGCCCCTGTCTTCCTCCCTCTTCTCTTCTCTTCACCAGCAGGCAACAGCATAGTAGCATCTAGCATTAACCGGTATTCGGTATACTAGTATTAATACCGGATACCGACTATTCGGTGTACCGGATAACATTCGGTATCGGTATTCGATGGGTACACTGTCTAGTTCCGGTATACCGAATACCGGATACCGACCGATTACCAGCCCTAAGGTAAAGGTGTTGGTGTTGTCTGCCCTTTAATGGAGGAAATGAAGAAGATAAAAGAGAAAGAACGAAAAAAAGATTGGGAATGGCTTTTACTAGTGGGCAATGTTTCTTCCTCCTAAATGGTAAAGAGTAGAGACAAAATGGGGATAAAATGTTATTTTTCCCACCAATTCCACGCCAGCGCTTAACTTGTGGTTTAGCTCACTCATTTGTTATATCATAAAAAATCTGACGACATTAACAAAATTTGATGAAATCTGACGACCGGTGATTAATGGTAAAACGAATTGTAAAGTTAGTAACGAGTAAAAAATAATTCAAGTGGTAAACGTAAAAAAATTTATGTAATTTGAATAACCGTCATTTAGCCCTAAAAGAAGCCATAAACATTCGAGATGTGCAAGTGCGAGTCATGTGGAAACTATATTGAATTAAATCAAGCATCAAACTTGTACAATGCTGCATGAAAATGCCACCAGACCAACGCAAAGCGTATCAGAAAGAGAAACCTGCTTGAGTTGATATTTTGTATGTTGGAGACTATAATATATGGCAAAACACAATCATCATTCCTAACCAACAACACGAGCAACTGGAACATCCATTTCTGACACGAAGATTTCAGTACAAACCCAAGTCCAAAACAACCAACCTATATGGCTCACGCAAGTCATGAAATGGGAACGTAACCTGAAGCCTTATTAGCTCCTTCTTCCTCAGCCGCCACTTTCTCCTTCGTCTTCTGTCCTACCTCGCCTGCAACTTTCGTCACCCGACCAAATGCACCAGTAACCCATGAGGTTCCCGTCAGCACGTACCGGTTCTTCATGATGGCCGATCCAGCATTGCTCACCGACTGTTCGGCAGCTGTGAATGCTGCCTTGGCTGCCTCCGACACCTTCAGCTTCTCGTCCATCTCCTTCACTTTCTCGTTCACAGCAGTGGTCCCCGCGCTGATTTTCCCACTCAGACCAATCTTCTGATCTAGTGAAGCAACCTTGGACGATGCAGTCGATGTGAGTTGATGTTTCTCATCGAAGGCCTTGGCCTTTTTCACTGTGTCTTTCCCCAGGCAGAAGCCCTTTGCCAGCATGCTGCTGACTACATCCTCCGCCTTCTGGATGGCTGAAGAAGATTCAGCTCCACCACTTCCATTGCTGTTCTCGTTTGGCTGAGTAGTAACAAAAAGAAACACCAAGATTTTAGGGAGATAAAACATCAAAAGTTAAAGAAGTCTTCCATTTGGATGAAAGAAAAGCAACCAATTAGCAAGGGATATTACGTTAGAATAGACTGTAGCAGTCACAGGAAACTGGTGGTCTGGAGCCAATTCTATGATAACTGACTGATCCACTATTGTTGCTCCCTGGAAGAAAACAGGAAGGAGCTGTAAGAGGCAGCATATTCAAACAAAGGCATATGCATAATGCATTTCTTGATTAATCTTCTATTCAAAACTGTATATAGACATGGCACCACCATCAAATAATGTAGCAGAACAACAGTGCTCGGCTAAACTCAAAAACAGAATAGAAAGCTGGAAAGGGGGTTGAGATATGGACAAATGCAATCTCCTGTAAGGGGTAAAATTCATCGCACCGATAGACATTTTGCAGTCTCGGCCCCCTGGGATTCTTTGAATCTTATGTATGCGATTTGAGAGCGCTCAGTGTCACTGAAAGGAAGCCCAAAAGTACAGAATTCAAAGAATAAATAGTTGCACTGAATATCCAACCATGGCAACAACTGAGTAATGGAAGATTATCAAAAGCTTCTTAAATCAACTAACCTGTGCATATCAATACAATCAATTTCACCAGAAAAAGAAAAGAACTCCTTTATGTCTTGCTCGGTTGCTCCCAATGAAACATTGCTGACTTTAACAGCTGATGCCTGAGATGGATTGGATATAAACAAGCAAAAGGGAAATTCATCAATGAAAGTTAACAAAAAACTAATGTTGCAGAACGAAAAAAAAAAAAACACTATAAAGGGCATCATTCAGTCCCTATGGCAACAAAGAGCATCAAACAAACTGAGCCCGCATAATGCAAATCGGGTACCAATAGAACTAAATCAACAACGTAACCACTTCGAACCTTATGAACGTGTGTATGTAAACAAAAGGGCCATTCAAGAAAGCCAGCTTAGAAGCAACGAAGCTCCCATCTCTTGTTAATTTAAACCTGGTCAACGCTCTACCCCTCTCAATATGAATGTCCACAATAACACTTAACTGGAAATGTTTGCAGCTCCTAAAAAGGTTGAAGTTCAGGCAGTTAACTCCAATTCGACCCCCTAATAAGCAATCTACTAGAGATTACTGAACTCATCTTGACAAAGGCAAACTCCGCTGAGTGAGAATGAACCAATCAAAGATTGTCAATTTCCTACAAATCCTGTTTAGTCAACCACCAAAACTGACAGAGGAAAGATCTAGCTAGCTAGGGAATCAAAGGAGAGTCGCCCCTTTTAATAGAAACTAGGGATTTTCCTAAGTGAGTATTGAAGCTATGGCGATTGGCGAAAGCACAGATGGATCTTCGGAACATAGGCAGAGAGCGAAAGAAAGATTTGAAAAGTCAAAAGCCAGTCGCCATTGCAATGATAGAGATTCATGCGATTGAAGGTAAGAAGTATAAGCTAGAAAGGAAAAGCAAATAGTATGAGAAAGGAAGGTTTACCGCCATCAGCGAGCCAGAAAAGAGGCTTTTTTTTTTTCCTCGACTAATGAATCTTCACAAAGCGAATAGAGAGGTTCGTTCAATTAGACTAACTCGGCTGGGGAACGAATGCAGTCTCTCCCTCTCTTTCTTTCCGTGTCTGTAGTTATAAGCAATACCAGTTTGTTTTGAGTGTGACTGAAACAGGACAAGACATTTTCCATTTTCCAACTAATTTTGGCCTTCTGCTGATATTAAAATAAATAAAAACTGATTTTGCCGTTTAAGCATTAACAAGCGGCTTAAGCAATGACAAAATTTATGCAGATAATTGCAAATACAAACAACTGCTAAATTTAGACTAGAGATAAGTCCGAAAACACAGATGTTGGCAAAGACTTGGTGAAGACATCGTCAATTTATTATCGTCGTTAGTAACATGTAAGACTTTAATCAATCCAGAAAGTATGTGATAACAAATTAAATGACAATCTATTTCTATATGTTGTGTCTGCTAATTGGCAAATGAATTTTCAGCTAGTCTAATTGTTGATTGGGTATCTCAAAACAAATTAATAGGTTATGAAAATGGGAACCCCCAGATCACTAAATATGTAATGTAACAAAAAACAATTTATTGTATTGTTTGTTTAGACCTCCAACGGAAAATTAAGTCCATTAACAACACACAATTAGAATTATTAAACCAAAAGTCCTCAAAAATTACCAAAAAAATGAATTTACTGTTCCTAAAAAGATCGGAATTTACTGTTCCTTAAAAGATCGGAATTTACTGTTCACAAAAGAATTTTATGATCACATGCATAGGTGTCAATCGGGCGGGTTCTGGTTGGGTTCAATCGGGTTCGGGTTCAAATGGGTTGCGGGTTAGTCGGGTTGCGGGTTCATCGGGTTCGGGTTCAAACGGGTTGCGGGTTAGTCGGGTTGCGGGTTCATCGGGTTCGGGTTCAATCGGGTTGCGTGCAAATCGGGTTGCGGGTTCATCGGGTTTTGGGTCGAGCGGGTTGCGGGCGGATCGGGTTTCGGGTTGTTCGGGCCAGCGCATCAAGTAACTTAACTCATTACTCATTACCAACTTACACATTTTATTACACTAATTTAAAATATTTTCTCAACTTTTTAACCAATTTATTTCTACCTCGTATATATATACTTTATTTTTTTGAAAAAAACTAGTCAAAATGTTAAATCAATTTGTATTACTTGCAAACTTGTTATGCAATTAATCATAATTGGTAAAGTATTATAGCTAATAGTAATGGTGATATCAATATTTGCAACCAAAAAACAACATTAATTGTTTATTTGATATTTTAGTATTAATTCAGTAGTAATTGATTAAAGTATCTCGTTTAGTATAACCATGCAAATCTGGTATTTGGTGTGTGGTATTTGGCAAAAGCATAGTGATAAAAGGAGTTATTTCGAAATAACTCATTGCCCAAATAACTTTAGGGGTCGTTTGGATGGAGTATTTGTATGAGTTATTTGGGTTCAAATAACTCACAATGAGTTATTTGGACGCAAATAACTCGTTTGACAGCGTTTTACTGAAATGAGTTATTTGGACAATGAATTATTTACAAATAACTCAAAACGAGTTATTTGAAATAACTTATACCCATGTGTTATTTCGAAATAATTCGTTTTATCACTCTGCTTTTACCAAATACCACATGTCAAATACCACATTTACATGGTTCAACCAAACGAGATACTTTATTTCAATTACCACTGAAATACCACATGAACAATAAATGAGTTATTTGACTCTACAAATACCATAATGACAATTAACCCATCCAAACGACCCCGTAAACTGTTGCCAAACGAGTTATTTGTAAAATTGTTCGAATTATCCTAAAAATTGAACCATTAAAGATTAGCTATCAAATTTAGTAAAATTATTGTTACTTCAATCATAACTTAATCAATAGCATATATCCTATACACTTTGCCTTACCCTCAATCAACAATATTAAGTTAGTATATGTTGTTGATTGTATACCCTAAACCATCAATACATTATACACTAACCACATAACCTATACCCTATACCCTAACCATATGTCTTTGAGTTGTGATTTTGCTAGTATAGTTAATTTAAAAGTGAAATTCATACCTTGATTTTCAAAACATAGATAAAAAGTGATATTTGCTAATTGTTATACCCTAACCATATATCTTATACTTTACACCACATACCTTGTACCCTAAGCACATACCATAAACATAAATTAAAAAGGGATCTCCTGCCGTTAAAGACTTCAAATGATTTCAAGTGAACATATGTTAATAAAAAACTTAGAATCGTCAAAACCATCAATATCCTATACCATAACCATATACACCCTAAACCACATGTACCTTATACCCTATACCCTAACCATATACTTTATATCCTAAACAACGAACCATCAAAGATTACTTATCAAGTTTAGTATAACTTGTTGTAACTAATGGTTAATTTATTTATTAGCCCATAAACAATTGCATACATATATATATATATTATCCTTCAAAGCATATAAGAATAATTTTAACTAGTCATGCCCTCCATATAAAAATTAAAGATTCATATTTCAAAAGCTAAAATTATGAAAAACCAAAAAATTGAAAACACCAAATTTGTTTCCTTCTTTCTTTTCACAAAAATACTAAAATTTCCTTCCTTCTTTCTACTTTCATACATTAGAAAACTCAATTTTCATTCCACTTTCTCTTCCATAAAATTGAAAGAACCAACTTACCCTCTTCTTTCCTTCTACAAAAAGTTGAAAACTCAAAAGTTTCCCTCCTTATTTCTCTTTCATAATCAAAAGAATCAAATTTTCCCACTTCTTTCTCTTCCCACATATCAAAACCACCAAAATTCCCACTTGTTTCTTTTCTAAAAAATTCAAAGAACCAAATTTCCCTCTTCTTTCTCTTCCCAAAAACTTGAATACACCAAAATTTCCCTCTTCATTTAAAAACATCAAATTACCAAATACATTACTTTACTTTATTTATATTTAATTGATAATTTTATTGAATAGTTAAATTAACCAAAATTTTAATTTATATATTATATTAATATTGTCATGATCTCAAGTGACCTTCATGTTTCAATTTTTGTAATTTTCTTAAAATACGTAATATCAAGTGAGTTTCATATTTTTTAAATTTCCTATACGAAATGAAAAAATAATTTTACTTAAGTTTAGAATGAAAAACTTTTTTTTGAAAAACTATGTATTGAATCATTTTATAATTATTCAAGTGGATTAGATGAAATTCGGGTTGAGTCGGTCGGGTTACGGGTTAGTCAGGTTCGGGTCAATCGGGTTCGGGTTAATCGGGTCGCGGGTCAGTCGGGTTGCGGGTCAATCGGGTTCGGGTTAATCGGGTTGCGGGTTAGTTGGGTTGCGGGTCAATCGGGTTGCGGGTCGGGCGGGTTACGGGTTGTTGACTTTTAGTCAATTCAGGTTGCGGTCGGGTTGCGGGTCGGGTTGATCGGGCGGGTTAATCGGATCGGGCTATGTTTTGACACCTATAATCACATGTAGATATTTTTAGATAAAGCTGAATTCACTACGTTGGGCTGGAAAAACCTGACCATTGATTGCCTTTAAATTCCTTTATATCATAGCAAGCGATCCAAGCGATCCCTTGGTCCGATCGAGTAAGTGGGTCGAGGGTTACTAGTTCGATCGATTTAGTTCAGTTTAGTTCATATATATGAAAAAATTATTATATTATTCATATATTTATAAATTATATCAAATCTCATTTAACATATGATTACTGAAATATAAAATTTATAAATTATGTACGATTGAGCCCGGATATATGAAAAACTAATAATATTGTATCACGAGTAGAAAAATGACGTTGTGTGACCTCCAACTTGAAAACCTTGTTACGAGTCGACCTGCGGTGTGTGGCACTCATTTTTTCTCACCTGATCTAGATCAAACCGGGTCAACCAACAGGTCAACCCACATACCGACAATCTTGCTCACCCCCTCTATTAGTAGATAGATGGTGAAGGTAGGTGGTTCAACTTGAATTTATATTTATGGGCATTCTCAAATTGAAATTTTCAAATTTTGTTCTGTGTATGAGTAACTCATACTTACAAAACTGTCGGGATAATAAAAACTTCACTTATGATTGTTGAATTTGTGGTTTTTGGGAATAGTAGATATGCGATATGCCATTGTAGAATTGAGGAACAACTTGAATTTCAATTTCAACATAAGTATAATTTTACCTAACCGATAACTTTTTCATGAAAGATTTACGAATTACAAATACATTAAGTTTATAATCTACTTTTTCATCTTCTTATCAATCTGCTACGCAAAGATCCTATAAGGTAAATTAACTTTTTCATTGTAGCTTAATTAACCATATGATTCTTTCCGTTACTTAATTCTATTATTAGCCCAGATACTATGGGAAATTTATGTAACACCATCCTATCCTATCCTAATCCTAAAAATACTATATGGAGGTTCTCCTCCGGAACCTCATTAACTCTATACTAATAATAGGCCCCGGCCCGTTGACCGGATTCAATGCAGTCAAAATCGCAATTCTACATAGAAGTGTTGTGTTGACTTAAAAGCGTATAAAGTAAGATTATAAGTTTTAAAGCGTAGGTTTTGACTACACTTATAAGGGAAAATCACGATTCTACCTAGTAGCGTTTTGGTGACCTGTAAGTGTAAAAGCGTAATATTTTAAACTTTAAAGCGCAATTTGACTACATTGGTCGATTCATCCGCCAATCACGTAAACATATAGTAGCAATTGTATGCAAGATATGCGTTTATTTGGTGGTATAAGAAAATCTATATTATCCAAATACTCGAAACATTCAAATTAATTGATAGAATATGAGAATCCAAATTATTAAAATACATCAACAAATCAAAAATTGTGTTTCAACATTCTAATGACTCATCGACCTAAAATTGTTTTATGGAAGTGAAAGACAACCCCATGCAAGGGAACTTACTCCCGCCGGCATTCTCAAATCACCCTTCTATTTTGTCATCAGTGTAAGAGATTACTGCACGTTTTCTTTTTCACTTGTTTCCTATGCCATGAGCAACATTATTATCTCCACCAATAATAATGTTATCATTTTCATTAGTGATACAATTATATGCATATC